ATACACTCAGTATGCACATATGCCAATAAGAGAGATACTGATCGATTTCAGTTCTAAAAATCAATGTGAAGATTCGAATGAACAACACCAAGTGAATTTAAACTTCACCCTATTTCGCAACCAAGTAACTATCAGGACTCAGTAGATAAGTGGATAACGCATTAGCGTTTGAAGCGAATTCTACTGAGTTCGAGTCCCGTGGTGAACATCAAATCTGAAATGTAAGTACATCCAACTAACGAGTCCCAAATAGGATTCCACTTCTAGCTACTATTTATCATTGCCTCTAAAGCTTGTGATTTCAGGCAATATCGAAGCAGTCCTCACAGGATGCACATATGCCATACAAGAATTTGATCAATTTCATTCCTAAACATCAAATAAAAAGTTTCAAGTAAACAACATTACCAAGTAAGCTGATTTTACGTTTTTTTTTTCTCAAAAAATATTTCTATCCTAAACTGAAATATGACTACTCACTTCTTATAAGATAGAATAGAAGGAAAAACCAAAAAAAAACAACCTCCACCTCCACCACCACCAACAATCAAATACTCATCGTTTCAATTAATAAAGTAGGACTAATATTTTCTTAGATTCAACATTCCTCTTTACTTTTTTATTATTATTAATTTTCTCTCTTCTTTTTTTTCTTGTTGTTTAGGGTCTTTTCTTTTCATTTCTTTAAGGTCGTCAACTATACAACTATATACAGCTATAGCTATATCCCTTTCTCTATATATATCTATATATATATATGCCCTATTGAGGTTATCTATGACCTGAGAATGAAGGATAAAAGAAGTTAAAAAAAAAGGAAAGATTGGTTTAATGTTTGTTTGGTTGGTTGGTTGTGTGTGTGTGTGTGGATGTGCATGTGGATGTGTGTGTGTGTACATTTGTGTGTAGAATGATGTTTAAAATGTTTATTTTTTTTTCTTTAATACTCTTTGTCAAGTTGATTAGTTTCCAGATGTATTTTTGATTAAATCGATTCTATATGAAAAGAGAAAAAATAAAGAAAATATTATAGCATAATGAATGTATTGTAAGTAAAGATGCATAGTGGTTAGCAGTGGAATCCAGTTTAATGCGCGTTTCGTCCTATTCTGGACTCGTCAGCTGGATGTACCTACATCTCAGACTTGTTGATGTTCATTCTGGGACTCGAACCTATTACCTTTCGCTTCAAATGTCATCGCGTTATCTACTTAGCTACTGAGTCCTGATAGCCACTTGCTTGTTCAATAAGGTGAAATTTAAATTCACTTAGTATTGTTTTAGTTGAATCTTCCCATACGCAATACGCACAATATGCACATATGCCAATATGAGATTGGCCAATTGTAGTCCTTAACAACAATGGGAGGATTCAAATAAAGGTTTTTACATCCTCCAAAGCTTCTTCGTCTATTACTTGTTATACAATAATTGAATTCATGAGTCAATCAAAGCTAGAACACTATGGAAAACCTAGAAGCACTGAATGGTCGTTTCATCATAGTATGAAACTCCTAAGCAGTGCGCATCCACAATCGCATACAGGACTCAAAACCAAGACCTATCATTCTCACACATTAACGCTTACCCTCTAGATCACTAAGCCGATATCCCAACAGTGTTAATATCTAACTACATCCTAATTGTATGATGTAATCAATAAATATCACAAATCTGTTCATCATAAAAACAATCAACTTTGAAGAACTCATTCTTTTAATAACACTACCACCATCACCACCACCAACAACAACACTGTTCATCTGAAATAATTTTCAAATCAATTATAATCAACTTGGTAAAAGTTATCTATTTCATTTAAACAAATAAACTTTATAGTTGAAAGCGTGAGTCAATTGAAGCTAGACCATCACCATGGAAAACCTGGAAGTACTGAATGGCCATTTGGTCTTATTATGGGACTCCTCATTGGCAGTGCGCATCCACGATCCTACACTTGCGAGTGAGATTCGAACCCAGGACCTACCAGTTTCAATTGATTCACGCTTTCAATTATGAAAATACTAAATCTCCACAAAACTCCTGATAATTGAATAAACTTCATTCATTCATTCCGAATTGAACTTTTAACGATTATCATTGAGTAATGGAATAATGTTTAATGAAGTACTATTACTACTTATCTAGAAACAAAAAAAAACAGAACACCAAATTATTAGTATCCATGGTGTTATCCTTTATGTGAATTCAATTAAGTGTACTTTATACTAGATCGAATGATTTTTGATAAAGAAAAAAAACAAAAAAATTTATTCTGTATTCTTAATGTATTAACTTAGATTAATTAATAGTGAATAGAGGATAGATGATGGATAGATTACAAGTAAAGAATGGAGTCAGATAAAGTTGTCTACACACTTCCTTTCTCTTTCTTCTGATAGTTGATTGCAATAATGAAGACCTCGATATCTGACGAGAAGTATAGAATGATATGGATAGCTTGGATGTAGCTAGATGATTTAGAGTTTGTAGATGACCTAGCTCTTCTATAATATATACACCAATAATATACAGGTCAAGACAAATAGTGTAGCAGCAGCCTCTATATTAGTAGGCCTCAACCTACACAAGGGAAAAACCAAGACCCCCAAACACACTAGATGGAGAAACTTTGGAAGAAGTAGAAAGTTTCACACATTTAAGCATCATCATCGAGAACCTGGAAGGATCTGATGCAAAAACAAACGCAAGGATTGGCAAAGCAAGGGCAGCATTTCTACAATTAAAGAACATATGGAACTCAAAACAACTGTCAGCAAGCCAACATTAAAGTCACAATCTTCAATACGAACGTCAAGACAGTCCTACTGTATGGAGCTGAAACATGAAGAACTACTACATCCATTGTCAAGAAGGTACAAGTATTTATAAACAGTTGTTTACGAAAGATACTCAACATTCACTGACCGGATACTATCAGCAACAGCCTACTGTGGGAGAGGACAAACCAGCTTCTAACTGAAGAGGAAATTAGGAAAAGATGTTGGAAGTGGATAGAACATACATTGAGGAAATTACCAAACTGCATCACAAGGCAATCCGTAACTTGAAATCCGGAAGGGAAGCGGAAAAGAGGAAGGCCAAAGAACATATTACGCCGGGAAACACAAGCACATATGAAAAAGACTAGTAGCAACTGTAAAGGAAGGCCTAGAACAGAGTTGGATGGAGAATGCTGGTGGACGGCCTGTTTTCCTCCACGAGGGATAACAGGCGTAAGTAAGTAAGTAAAGTAAGTATCATACCGAATTGTCTTCAATAAAACCATCCCTTATCCCTTTGTACAACTTATCTACCTATCTAGCCTTTTTATTTAACATCATCTTTTTCCCTTGTTTTAACACTTGGAAAGATATAAGTATGCAGTACTTTCCCTATATTGAATACTTTCCATCTGACAATTACCAAATAGATATACATTTAAAACTATAAAAAAATGTGTGTATATCATTAAATGAGAGATAACAATAATACAGAAAGGGTATATCTATTCATTCACTACTATAATTGAAAATAAAATAAAGTAGTTGGAATGAAGGTACAGAGGGCGTTGGTATTATAAAGGATAGACATTAAGAAGTGATATTCCTTCCTTCCTTTCTTCCTTTCTTCCTTCCTTCCTTCCTTCCTTCGTTCCTTCGTTCCTTACTTACTTACTTAATTACTTACTTACTTCTCTACTTACTTACTTACTTTCCATAGTAGTCTAGCTTCAATTGACTCATGATCTCAACTATATAAAATTACTAAAATCTATACAAACCTCCCTTCCGATAATGATCATATGCTCACTAGTGACTGACTCAATAAAGTATTTCCCGGAGTTCTAGTGAAAAGCAGTAACCAGTGTAGTTCAACCAGGTCCGTTGGGAGATATCAACTCACTGAAGATATTGGTGAAATGGTTGCTCAAACATCGTGGATTAGTTGAAGTTAGACATTAACACCGTTGGATGCCGGTCGGCTCAGTGGTCTATCGGTTAAGGGCTCCGGCTCGAGACTGGTAGGTCCGGGGTTCGGATCTCGCGAGTGCGGGGTCGTGGATGAGCACTGCTAAGTAGTCCCATAATAGGACGAATCGGTCGTCCAGTGCTTCCGAGTTTTCGATGGTGGTCTAGCTTCAATTGACCCATGATTTCAACTATCATTTAGTATTGTTTGTTTGGATCTTCCCATTGAGGTTTAAGACTACAACTGGTCAGTCTCTAATTGGCATATATGCATACTGTGTAGACTGCCTTGATATAGCCTTAATTCACAAGCATTATAAACAAAAATGGATAGTGGCTAGCAATGGAATCCAGGACGCGCGCCACTTCGTCCTATTTGGGACTCATCAGCTGAATGTATCTGCATCTCAGAGTTGATGTTCACACTGGGACTTGAACCCAGTACCTTTCATTTCAAACGCCATTGCGTTATCCACCCGGCCACTGAGTCCTGTTAGCCACTTGCTTGAGCGATGGGGTGAAGTTTAAATTCATTTAGTATTGTTTGTTGTTATTGTTGTTGTTGTTGTTGTGACTACACTAATTTCAGTTATTCGGTTAACTCATGTTATTATTCTAGGGGAAAACAATGTCTAGCTTCAATTGACTCACTCTTTCTACTACGAAAATACTAAATCTCCACAAAAACCCCCTTCTGATAATGTCAATAAACGTTTGTTTGTCATATGAAACCATGTATAGATGTGATAATTTAACTAGAACAGAAGTGATTCAAGCACACACAAAAACTCTTAAATATGATCACTTTGAATTAGTCGTTAGGTCAAAGGTCATTAGATTACTATCTAATATGAATATGAATATTTTACTGTTTTTACCCTTCCTCCCCCCCTTTAGTTTATCATGTGAAAATATTTAGAGTTAAACTATACAAACGAATAGTCAAACCAAATAGTTGCGCGTCGAATCAACACCAAAGAGAATGGAGATTTAGAAGATTATTAACAATGAAATTGTGAAATCAAGTGATTAAAAAGTATACAGTACAATTAGACTATTATTACTACTCCTACTACTACTATTACTACTACTACTATTACTACTACTGCCACTACTACTACTATTACTACTACCACTACTACTACTATTACTACTACTACTACTACTATTACTACTACCATTACTACTACTACTATTACTATTACTACTACGACTACTATTACCACTACCATTACTACTACTACTACCACTACTACTATTACTACTACCACCACTACTACTACTACCACTACTACTACTACCAATACTAATACTACTATCGAAATATTTCATCTTTCTTATTATTAATGACATTGTTTATGTTGTCTTCATTTCTGTTTCATCTTATTGATTTTATCACGTCATTTTTCACATGGTTAAGCAAATTAGGTCAATATACCATTTATGTCTAGTTGTTATTTTAACTCTAATTGACTGATTATTTCTTTTTTATTTATGTTATTACCATTGTTTGATTGATTAATACTCTGAGTTATTTCATTATTATTTAAGAATTAACTTAATCACAATTTATGTTTTCACGATATCGTTAATCTTACAGATACATTCGGCTGACGAGTCTCAAAGAAGACGAAACGCGCATCCTGAATTCCACTGCTAGCTATTATCCATTTTTGCTTATAAAGCTTGTAACTTGAAACAATATCGAGGCAGTCCGCATAGGGTGCGTATATGCTAACCAGAGACTGATCAATTGCAGTTCTAAATAGCAATTGGAAAATAGAAGTAAACAACACCAACTGAATATAACTTCACCCCATTACACAAGCAAGTAGCTATCAGGACTCAGTAGCTAACTGGATAACGTGATGGTGTTCAAAGCGAAAGATACTGGGTCCGTGTTCCAGAGTGAACATCAACTCTGAGATGCAGGTACGTTCGGCTGACGAGTCTCAAAGAGGACGAAACGCGGGACCTAGATTGCACTGCTAGCCACTATCCATCTTTACTTATTAATCTTACTTGCTTCAACAATGGTGTTTGAAAATTACGCCATAATTTTTTTAAACTGTAGTACTGACATGTTCAACATATCAGTGATTATATATGTATGAGGATTTTCTGTGGAGATTTTAAGTAATTTTTATGTATAGTTAAAATCATGAGTCAATTGAAGCTAGAACACCGTAGAAAACCTCGAAGTACTGGACAGCTGTTTCGTCCTATTGTGGGACTCCTTAGTGGCAGTGCGCATCCACGATCCCGCCTCGCGAAATTCGTACCCATGACCTAACAATCTCACGCCGGAGCACTTGACCGATAGAACACTGAGCCGGCATCCAAAGGTGAGGAGTCCCACAATATGACTAAACGGCCAACCAGTGCTTCGTCAGTTTTTATGTAGTTGATATGATTTTTATCACAATATAATCGTTAGAAATATAGAAAAACCATTGTATACTAATTAAATACTTTGTGAGAGTAAAACCCTTCATCTTCGAAGTATGAAAGATTTTTGGTCATATACTTTATAGTGTAGTCACTATGCATGATCGAAGAGGAATTGTAGTTTGGGACGAGACACCTATTGAACACTGAAAGTAGAATAAAATCAGTGAATCTATTAGTGTTTAATTCATTTCTTCAAACTAAATTAATATACTGTAATGTAATTGAATACTGTTCAATATAATGAACGATAATTCAATTCATGTGAATGTTTACTTGTTACCAGGTGAATAGTGTTTCTTTTTCTTGGTGACTTATTTAGTTGAAGATTTAATTTTCATGATAAGCTAATACGAAGTTTGGGCATATATAACAACTTGGCGGCCTGCTTGAACATCTGGACTATCTGTTTCTACCATCTAGATATGTCAACAAGTTATCTGTTTCCTTGTTTGTTCCATTACATCATTATATCTGTTAATCACATAAACTACTCAGATGTGCCTATGAAAAGTGGACAACCTTTCGTTGAACAAGTTACAAAAGACTTAATCATAGATATCGTGGTTTCTGACAGGCAATGTGTAACGAAAACAATGTACATTATTCAGATATCGATTGACTGGACTGCTAAATTCTAACTGGCTCCCACTCAATTTTTATCGTCAGGATCGATCAAGAAATAAGAAACGGAAACATGTTGAAATACTTTGAGCTGAGAATTCTATATTGTACTAAAGATATAATATTGAATAAAGCTAATAGGACTCAAAGATGGATAGTGGTTATCAATGGAATTCAAGACAAACGTCTCGTCCTATCTGGGACTAGTCAGGTGGATGTACCTGAATCTCAGAGTTCATGTTCACTCCGGGACTCGAAACCAGTACCTTTCGCTTCAAACGCTATCGCGTTATCTACTCTGCTACTGAGTCCTGATAGCCACTATCCATCTTTGTTTATAATGCTTGTGAATTATGACAATATCTAGGCAATACGCACAGTATGCACATAAGGCCGATAAGAGAATGAACAATTTCAATCCTAAACATCAATGGGAAGATTCAAACAAACAATATCAAGTGAATTTAAAGCTAATAGTAATTAAAATAATAAATAAAATCTATGTACATATGGAAAAGATAGAAACAATCTATAAATATTAAGCCGGTACATGTTACTAATTGCTTACTTCTGTTACTCCCAATGGAGCAAAGGCCACTGACCAGCATTCTCCAACACACTTTGTCCTCCTAATTTCTTTATAGTTCTATTCAGGTTTTGTTCATTCTTCTCATGTCTGTCTCCATTTCTCGGTGTAATGTGTTCTTTGGTCTTCCTCTTCTCCTTTGGCCTTGAGGATTCCATGTGAGTGTTTGTCTTGTGACGCAGTTGTGTGATTTCCTGAAAATGTGTCATATCCACTTTCAGTTCTTCTTCCTGATTTCTTCCTCCACTGCAATCTGGTTTGCTCTCTCTCTCACAGTACATGTTAGTTGTTTCTATCTTCAAATTTGTGGGTATTGAATAATACATTGAAAAGACATTTTTATGATACAGAGTTGTAGAAAGTTTTGAATAAGTGGAAATCAGACATTTAGATAGAAAGCTAGTCATCATTATTGATAGTAGATGATCGTCATACGAAATCGTGAATTGACCGAAGTTATTTTTGTACACCATTAGATTTCAACCCAATCGCCTAACAGTAAGACACTTGTTGCTGGAAGTTAGAAATCCATGGTTTAGTTTTTGAAAGAATTGTAAATGAAAGCTTTTGAGGAGTAGCATACTAAGATGGAACGACTGTCAACACACCTTATTATTGTTATTATTAGTATTTGCATTGTATTGGTATTATTATTTGAAAGGGTATCTTTAGGAAAATCATTCAATTCGAAAGCGTTTTCTCATAGGCTGGTATTGAACCATTTTTAAAAAGGGGACACTGATGCTTAGTGTTATTCTACTATGGAATTCCTCACTGATGAGCCCTAATATTTCCGCCTAAGATCGAACTCAGAACATTCATGTCTTAGCATTTCAGTGTGACACAGGTAGATTTGTAATTGAAATTAGTGTGAGTAAAGCTATCATTACACCATTTAGTTGTATTTTTGGTTCTAGTCCTGAGACTCTATTGATCCTTCTTACAAACAAATCCACTTAATATTAAACCTAGACACAAACTTTTTACTTTATAATTTGATGTCATTGAAAAAACAGGAAACACTGAACAACCAACTTGTCCTAATATGGGACTCCATGACTATTCTATTTCTATTTGAACAAATAAATATTGGTAGAAGGGGGCACCAGATACACATGCGCCACACAAAAACTGTCATTTCTTTCAATTAAATGAGGGCTATGATACTGCTCGGGTGCCCAAACAAAAGCAGGTGGTTCTCTTAGGGGGCAACGTAAGAATATACAATCCCATGGTAATCGGTCACCAAAAATAGGTACATACGCCATTTTTTCCTTTAGCATACTGGGGCCCATGTGCACCATAAGTTTGGAATCAGGGTTTTCTAACTCTCCTAGGTAGACTTTCCATGTCTATCAATCCGGTTAAAGTGCAGAACATTTGCTCTTCATCCTCTCAATTTCGTAAACAACAGCCGTGGCACGAGAAAACAGGGAATAGGACTTCCCTGACAGAGGCTTTATACGCGTGGCCATTTGAGAACATTTGGAGAGGGAGATCGGACTCTCTCCACTCTCAGCCATACCAGGGCATTTGGCATAACTAACCTCTTAGGGACTCAATTCAGAACTGTCAGAAATCACAATGATTATATTAACCATTATACCATTAAACAGATATTCAATAATTCATATTCTTTCCTTTAACTTCAATCAATGCGGTTAATCATATAAAATCCAATCACCACTACCATTTTATTCCCAATATAATTGACTTACTCATTCAAAAACTTTCTATGACAACTTAATTGTCATTAATAATTTTATTTTTGTATTTTTCATAACGATCGATTTAGGTCTCTTTTTAAAGAAAAGAAAAAAAATGGAATCGACAACATTATTTTTTTTAAAAGTTAGTACCCCCTTTTTTTCTAATTTTTTCATCGAGGGAGGGTGGGGGTGGAGGTAATTGATATTCATTATAAGGAAAATGAAAAAATTTTTTTCCTTTTTTTCTCTCTCTCCAATATACTTAGATGATATTGAAGATTTATTTTTTTTTGTGTAAGAGAAAAAAAACTATAAAAAAACAAAAACAAAACAAAAAAATATAGACAGATATTTTTCATGTTATCATAAGACAAACGGTATACATATTAAACGCCCACTATTGTTTCTTCTTCTATTTAGGGCTGTTATTCATATTAATATCTAGTTTGATTACAAAAGAAATCAGAACATAAAGTGTGTGTGTGTGTGTGTGAGAGAGTGAGGGAGCGAGTGAGAGAAGGAGTGACAGAGAGAGAGAGAGATAAGGCCGTATAGTGATCATTCTTTCATGGTCTTTTACTTTGAACACACACATACACCGAGATACAATCCCTCACCAGAGAAACACAGGAAAAGAAAGGAATAAAGAGATAAGAAATAAGAATGGAAATCTCTCATTAAAATGAACTAGCAATCTATATCTCTCTCTATATATATATAAATAGTTTTAGTTGGTTTGACCTTAAACATTCATTATTCAATGTTAGAATTATCGGCTGTTAAGATATAATAATAATAATAATAATAATAATGACAATACAATTTACATAATAATAATGATAAAACCTAATTTCTTTCTGAGAATTAAAGAAAAAAATTATTCATAAGATGGAAACGACATTACGATGAACAACTGAATGAAACAATAACCATTTTATGGATGGAATCATGAGTTAATTAAAGTT